CCACTGATTCTAATTTGAAAAGGTCTACTGCATTATCTTTGTTTTTGGATTTATGTAAAACTTGCAGCTTATGATACGGATAGTTATACGCAGAACTGTTAAGACTGGTACATCATATCATTTAAAATTCAAGATTTACCTACCAACAACACATGCCAGGTTCGAAAAAAACATCAAATTTCAGTGGTATTTTATTTTTAGCATATAGACCATTGCTGYCAATATAACATTTTTCAAATCTTGTCTATTATAGGCATGTATTAGATCTCCATGCCAATCTGGACTTAACTCCTGAATATCTCTTTTGATTACGTCCAACCTTTGGTCTACCGAGAGGTCTTTTTTTGTTCAAGTTGTTTACAAGTACCGTTTTGGCAATACTATTATCAGCTCTCCAAACGTGACCTGCTCACTCCAGTCTTGTGCCTTTTACAACMTGTACTATATTTTGTTTTCTGTACAATTGTTGTACTTGTTTGTTTGTTCTTAACTCCCACGCTTATGGTTTTCAGGGTTATAAACAGGACCACAGATTTTCCCTAACGCCTTTCTTTCAAAGGTATTAAGTTTATTCTCTTCTCCTGCTGTTGTAGACCAAGTACAGCATGCATAAGTCACAACTGGTCTAAGATATTTAGTATTTAGCTTCACTTTATTTTTCCTAGATAATAATTTTGAACTAAACAGATGGGACATAGCGAAATAGCATCCATTCCCAGCTTTTAGATGGAGTTTTATTTCGTTATGCATACAGTTTCTGTTATTTATGTTATATACGAGGWATTTATTTGAAGTCTTGTAGGTATTTGTTGAAATKATATCCCACCGACTTCCAAGTCTGAATCATCTTCTCTATCTCGTACCTCTCTAGTCATGAACATATATTATTTGGTCTTCTCCTGRTTTATCGACAACCCTATTTTACTTGCATACTTTTATTAGGTCTGACATACYTACTGCTTACGATATCTTGCCTTGTAACTCCCAAAATTATTATATCATCCGTGTATGCTAGGAGAGTATGATTCTCATTTAATTCCATTGCCTGCCGTTGTGGCATTCTCCTTAGCACACTTTCTAACGCTAAGTTGAATAATGCCGGTGATAAAGCGTCACCCTGTCTTAGACCTTAACCAACTTCAAAAGGATCTGATAGCTTTCCTTGTACCCGGACCACACATTAAGTGTTGCTGTTGCCTGTTGCATAATTTTATCAAGCTTACTATTTTAGCAGGGATACCTAAAACTGTTAGGTTTTTCCATAGTTTATTCCGAATTATACTATCCATATGCTGCTTGTTTGAAGTTTATAAATACTGGATGGATATTTTTATTAAATTCGTAATGTTTACTTAGTATTTGTGATTTGTCTTAATGAGTATGTGATCTATCGTTGCCTTCCCGCTCCTAAAGCCACACTGRTAGTCTCCGATCACTCCCTCCGATATATCTTGTATTCTTCGTAGGAGACACATAAATAGGACCTTATATACCTAACATCTAAGAGAGATATACCTTTCAGTGGTATAGCTATACTATATTATGCAAGACAAACTTTTATTTAACTCAGAAGTTTTAAAACTACCTATGTAATGCACTTTTCGACAGAGTGCGTGACATATTATTCTGTGTCTTGCATTTATCTTACTTAATACGATCAGAGTATAAAGTAAAGTGTGTCCCTCGACTTACAAAGTAGGTAAGTACTTCACGGGTTGTGATTTTCATTTTTATTTAGTATATACCTAATGTAACCAAAGTCAGTTTTACTATAAATCGGTAGGTAGGCACCATATATTTATATTTACATGTGTGTGTGTGTGTGTGTGTGTATTTCCGGTAGTTTTTCGTTAAGTTCAAATCCAACTCTATAGTTGAATGCTTAAATATTTACTCACGAAATATAATAGTTTATGCAGAAATTATGATGGGATTACTCTTCCCTGTTCTAAATTAAATTAAACACTGTCAAGTAAATTAGCATAACTATGTGACGATGATCGAGTGATAAGTTTTAACAAATATTCTGAGCTATGTATATTATGTGTTCTTAATTATAATTTATAATGCAAATAAACATTTGAAATTTCATACATTGGATGATGTCATATTTATTAAAGGTTTTCTTGATAAAATTAAAAAAGTGAAGGTATATAAATATATAATACAAAATATATTTATAAATATTATATACAAAATGATTCATCAATCATGGGGTCCTCCAATTTTTCCTTTAAAATAATATTTTTTTTAAATTCTGATTTTTGAAATATATATGAAGACAAAATATGTAGAATAATATGAGGACCATATTTTTTAATTCATGAGATATTTTGTACTACTTTAATACTAAAGAGTATATAATATTTTTTCTACCTATATTTATATATGACTTATTATATGTCATTTTCAATAAAGAATAATAAATATTATATACCAAGTATAAAGTAGGTAGGTATTAGATTTAGGTAGCTACAATTATTAAATATTAGTTGGTTCATTTTAACTAGTGAAAATTAACAAGGTGCGGCATAGCCCATACCTAATAGGCATTATAAAGTCAGTATTAGTCAAAAATCGAAACGTACATTTTCAATTTCATGTCCAAATTATATTTATTTTTTTATTTTTTAAAAATTGACTTATTTTTGCAAATGTTGATATGTCGTTCTAACAAAGGACATATTATTTTTTTTTTTAAGTATTATTTAGTTACCTATTTCAACTGACTTGTTACAATATTTAACAACGCATATAACGAATATAATATTTATAATATAAATAACTATAATATAATAATTCATAACGCATAGATATATATTTAAATGTTTTCTCTAGATAGTCAACAACTTTATTATGGTTTAAAAACCGTAATATTTGCTCCATGTCTCGGGCAATACTCCAGAAATGTCCAAGCACCAACAGAAAAAATAATGGATTAAAATACATTTCACCAACAATATTGTCGCTTAATAATTTCTAGAAAATATCTTGAAAAAAATTAAAGTATATTTATATATAGGACATAGGTACTTATGTACTTACCAATATTTAAAAATTCAAAATGTCAGATTTTRAWAACTGCGTTATTTAAAAAAAGTAGCGTGTACCTACCTATTTACTTGCATGGATATATTTTACAATGTAAATGATTATGACGTGATCATAAATAATACTGAAGCTTTTTTAAAATGATAAATACCTGCAATTGTACAATAAATATATTATTTGTTCAATTTATAATCTTCAGCATTTATGCAAACAACAACTTAATTTGTGCTATTTGGCTAGAGTTGGCATTTCGAAAGTTAATCAATTTATTGATTTACCATCATACAAATATAATACTAAGTGTAAAATAAAAAGGTTCTATAAGGGTGATATATATATATATATATATATATACAATGTACCTAACTATATAAGTGTAAAATACCTTTATGTCCTATAATACTACAAACTATAAATAACCATCATCGTCACGTCTTGTCAGAAATGGTATTTACGACGTTAAACACCGCCAGTTTAAGAGGATGTCAGTGCACTATTTGTTTTCTCTCTTTGGCCCACATGCAACATAGAGAATAAACGCATCTACGCAGAATCATTTTTCTATGTTTTTAAGTTATCTTAGAAGAAAATAACCTATTAAAAAAATATAGAAAAWAATATTTTTGAGGGAATGACATATCGATATCATATTTTATTGTTATTTGATTTTGTATTCGACTTTTTTGTTGAACGATATACATAACCATGTCCAAAATTAAGTAATTAATTGTCTTAGCTGGTGTTTATGGTGGATGAGTTGACCTATTTAGAGTACAGAGGGGTGAATGACATTTTACGGTTTGCTTAAATTTTATCAAAGACCATAACTATAGTTAGAAAACGGTGGTTTTCTCTCTGTATTATACTATATATTATAATGCTGTTCGCGGACTGGGCCGTTAGGTTAGCCGTTGAGAATTTGAGATACGCCAAAATTTCAGACGAAATTCTAAGTTTTGTAGCATAAAATATTTTGTTAGTTAAACAAACAATTTACTCTTTTAATAAAATGAATAAAAACAAAATGATAATTTTTAACAAAMCAGATTTATAAAATCAACATAACATTTTATTTCTTTAATTATTAATTCAACTCAATTTCTATTGGAATACTACCTACCTATCATATTTTTTTTATTGTCTTGACAATTAATTCTTTCGTATTAATAAAGATCTTTTGATGATGGTTGATAAATATAATTTATTTAAATCAGAATTATAAAGGAACGATATATCTTATATAAATACGAGTACCTATGTCCCAGATTTTCCGTGAAACAGTTACATAGTTACTATAAGTCTTTAACTTAGGTACTTAGTCAGTCTTACTATAAGTCTATATTGAATACTGATGTTCAATATTTGATTTGTCTTCTATCATTGATAATTATTTGCGACATTTATAAAGATACTAAAAAAAATGTCCATGCATATCATTTTTATTAAAAGTATCTTCCGTGTACTTTTGGTCCAAAATTGAATATATTAATCAGTTCAAACAATCAAACATGAATGTATATTTCAATATTTCGTTCATTTGGAGAGCATATAAATCGAACATTGAACAAAGTACAAGTATTATACTATCTTTGTACTATCAGTACTATTTTCCCAATCTTTTGTATAATTTTATATCACCTTGATAATAGTTGAAATTCATGTATTTTAGCTTAAAATGATAAAAAACACTAAACCCACATATATATATATATATATATACTATAACTATACATTTCAGTAATAACCATTTAATCTGAACAAGATTCTTAAGACTGATCTGACTGAATAAAGATAAACATTACTTAATTCTAATTTCTAACAAGCACTTTTAGCCTAATTCATCAAAAATAAAATCTGCTGTACATAAAATAATAAAAGTCGGTGTTAATTGGGAAACTTTTATTAGTAGTTATAATCTAAATATTATTTAAATATAAAACTTTTGAAAGTAAAGTTTAACTCTCAATATAATAATAATGAATTATGTTGCCAAAAATATGTTTTTTTCTCTTCACCAATAATCAATCATCAAATTATACACTATACTTTGCTAACATGTCTGGTGTTACTTTAAAAGCAGGATCCATAAATGCCTGTACTTTTTTCTTATGAATCCTAAAAAAAAGAAATCATATCAAGTATAAACAAAAGGTAAAGTTCTAATGCCATCAACAAACACTAACATTTAATGAATCAATAGAGAGCTTATATGATTTGATGGCCCATGATTGGTCCATTAAATTATAGTGAAGTATTAAATTAATTAATCAATTTTCATAAATATTCATTGATAATACTAAATTTTTTTCTTGACTTACTTAAGTTGTTTTTTCCCAACAGATAATATATTACGCTTTTGTAAGCTTTCAAAACAATCTTTGAATATATTTCCTTGTGGTTCAGTTTCTCTGAGTGTACCTTTTAAATCTTTTGGTAATGCAAAAGCATCTAATGACTCAGTAAACTTATTGGTTCCTAGACGCCTGGTGCTAATATTATTTAGTTGTCTCTTTTGTAATCTTTTAAGTTTTTTTTTATTAGTTGTGTTTTCTAATTCATCCAATTCTTCTCTAATATAACGTAATCTAAAAAAATTATTTAACAAAGTAAATAAACATTACTCAACAGTCTAATAAATTTTTATGTATAAATTGAAGGATGTATTTGAAGAATGTACCTATAAAGATCTGAAATTTTCTTTTTTTCAATTTTAGCATTCATACGTTGTCTTTCTTCATTACGTAATCTCCTCTGGATCTTACGTTTTTTAATGGTCTTTTGATTATCTCTTGTTGTGGGTGGGTTAATGGCTTTAAATTCAGAAGTGTCTTCATTTACTTCTGTAACTGTATCATCCGTAAAGCCAGGCAGACCTTCAGTCAATTCTTCAATTATTATTTGCTAAAAATTCAACAAATTAGTACAATAATATAACTTAAATATTAAAACATTCATTTCATATAGAAAATTTACTTCATGCTTTTCCTTAGAAACTTGCTGGAATAATTTTTGTGTAACTCTATTCATATGAGCTTCATGCTTTATCAATTCTGTTTCTTTTTCAGCAATATTAGCCAATAGTGAAACATGATCTTCAATTGTGGGATTGTATGAAAGACCTGGGTGTGGACATTTCATATCTTCTGCTTTGCATGTGGATTGGCTTGGATGAGACATTTTTTTATCACTTAATTTTGGAAGAACTTTAGCATTATGGTTTAATACTTCACTTGGCAACCATTTAATAACATTCTTAATGAGTTTATCTTTTCTTTGTCCTGGTTCTATTCAAAAAGAAAAGTACAAAATAATCACTGATTGGAAATATATCAAATAAACTAAGAAATAATTAAAATACCTTTAAATTTTAAGTATGTATTTTATTGAGTTTATATTATATAATATGCATACCTCTATAACTTGTCCATAAATCTTTATCAAAGAGATCTTTAGTTGAAATTTCTTTTAGTTGCAATGTTTTGACTTTAGCCTTCAACAGTTTATTTAATTCTTTCGCCTCTTTTTTCTTAACTATAGTTTTCTTGAGAGGTTTAATGTTTTTGTCAAAATCATCATCCTTTTTATTATTCTTTTTGTATTTTTTTACACTTCTAAGACATTAAACATACAAAAATATGTTAACTTACATATTTTTATTTTGACATTTGARTATTTGARTAATAAATAAAATTATTTTTTTTCAAACTAAAAATAAGATAATGCAAACTATATAAGTACCAATAACAACTTTTGATGTCAATTTAATTTAACATACCTACTACATACTATTTTAATTTACTTTTGTTTCGTTATACCTACGTTGAGCATATCATAAATACAATTTAATCACATATTTAATAAAAAAAATTAACTACATAGGTGCACTTAGATATTTTAAATCATTTCAATACAAGATATTTTTTAAATTTCAAAGCRAATGGTTTGAGACACAATAATTCCTTCGCATCTAACRATATATTTGTATTCATTTCAAGATTACCTTTTAGCAAGTGGTGCAATAGCAGATGTTGATTGCAAGCTTGATAGACATTTCAAAGGGGCATTCAAAGATTTTTTTTTAGGCTTTTGTTTCTTTCCACCTGTATCAATATGAAACAGCTCTTCATCTTTTTTTTCACTGAATGGATCTCTTTATGAGAAAAATAAAATTAATGATGGATGATTAATGAAAAATTAGATGYAATATATTGGTCTAGGGTATTTCGCCTTTGGGTTTTACATACCCTATTCGTTCCTCGAGTCTTTTACCCTCTAGATACGTGTCAACATCAGTTACATCAATTTTCCTTCGCCAATCTCGCTTTAACCTCCTTCCTCCTTTTTTTTTCGTTTTCATCGCTAATAGAGATGTGTCGTACGCGAATGAACGGTCGAACGGATCAAAATGAACGGGTGTCGACTGTCGGGTCAAACCTGTGAACGAAACAATYCGGATCGTGAAATAATAAAAAGTCGTTCATCGTTCATCCGTTCAATTTCGTTCTCGTTCGGATTGCATTGCTACCAACTCAAAATAATGACCGTATTACATGTTCAACAATATTTCGTTCCAATAGACATTTGTTCCAAAAACTTTTGTCCCAAAAACTTATTGTAACAAATTTAATTTGATAAAGAGAATATTGGAAAAAATATTTTTTAACATATATCCTATGGAACAAATATCATTGGAATAATTGGTTATAGGATTAATTCAACTAGCATTGCAATTTGCAGCCTGCAGCAATAGCAGCTGCTGATATGGTTTGCAAAAAAATTCAGAGTTAATCTAAGTAGTTGTCCGAAAGTTGATAAGAGTGGTTAGGTACGATGGTTACCTTTTGGTTACAGTGTGACCAACTTGAGGTGGCGTTGCACAGCAAGTCGAGGGATATTTTCGATTTGCGGAGCGTAGCGATCATAGACATAATACAGATAATATTATAGATGGACTGCGCGTTTAGCCCTTATCATGTCAGCCGTGGTGAGGTGAGGTGGCCGAGTGGTGGGTCTACCGCGTCGGCTGTGGCTCAGCCGGACCGGGTTCGATCCTCGACCATCGGGCGGCATTTTTCTCCGGGCAAGTCACGGTGTCCGGAGAACAAGTGCCACCATCCCCCACTCCGGGGCATCGTTCAACGAACGAAATGAACGGGTCTTTTCAATGACCCAATCCGAATGAACCGAATCGTTCATTTGACCCGTAATTCCCATCTTTAATCGCTAAATTTTGGTTTGAAATGAATTAATACGAAATGTTAATTAAATATGAAACTAGGATTACGAACAAGAGTCAAGACTTCAAGAGAACTTAAACCATTAAAGTAATATAAAATTCACGTGGTTTATCAACGATAAATGATAACTGATAACCATGTTATGAATTATTGATGGCATGGACTACGGGGTAATACATTTTTTATCCCATGAACAAATCTTTTTTTCTTTTTTATTTAAATTTAAAACAAAATAATTATTTTAGTTTATTTTAGCCAGTAGGGAGGTGCTTTTATAATTGGTAAATGGAAATTAATAACGATAAGTCCATACTCCATAATACAGTATAATATGATAAATATGAAATATAAGRAAATATAAATATATACAAAATTACTTATAATAATTAATTATATTTCTAATCTACCGTGGTAACAACAGTCAATAAAATGTATAAAATAAATTAATATCCGTTAATGAAGATTACTACTACAATATTAGTAGGTACAGTCAATAATAATAAATCATTTACATTTTACAATAATTTATGATATTTTTAATCTTACATTACTCAATTCAATATTGGTAGTATTTATGGTCATTGTCTAACACTTATACAGTATTACCACAGAAATACAAACTATTACAGTAATATTATAGTTTATTTATTATAATTGTATAATCTTCATATTATTGTTCTTATTTTTTTTACTCGTGTTGGAAGTGAATTAATTTGGTAAGTTTTGCACGTTTTCTGTTCTTGTGTAAATTGTCATTTATTTTGCGTATTTCATGAAATATACGTATATCTATATATTTAAAAATAATTATGTTTATTAGTTGGGTTGAGTGACGATCTAAAAATGATATATTGATATTTGATTTTTACAGTCTGAAAATATTTGGCTATTTGATTTGTATACGTCCGACTTGATTTCATTTACTAAATACATTTTATTTTTAGTTGTGGTTAAGTAAGTTGAGTGGTAACATCTGATTACTTTTTCAGCTTCATGGCAGACTCTTAGTACATCTTTAGATGGGTAAGTTAATTTTATTAATTTATTTTATATATTATCTATGTTTTAAACTTAAACTTAATCCTTTATCATGGAGTATAAAATATTGCAATGGTCGTGTACCGGTGATAGAATGTATATTATATTATGTCTATGAATACATAACTACCGTGTTGTACCTGTGGGGGTAGCAACAGGGGCATTTCCCCCCATGAGAAGTTTTTTGATGCGAATTCATTGTCCAGCTCACGATGTAGAGTATATATTATATATTCTCTACATCGTGGTGCAGCTAAAATAATGTAAATAATAAATATTTTTAATTTTCACTGATTATTATCGTGTTTGATATCACTTATCAATGTAGTATATAATTCATGTTTTAAGAGGACGTTTCACCCGCATGTGTTGTCTTCGTCTTACAAGTGCGTAACATTGCAAAAACTGTTTCGCGCGGGAAAGAACCGAGAAAGATAGTTATAACTAAGAAATGAAATTTTCACCACATAAAGAGAAGAATTT